TGAGCGCAGACGACAGGCTTGTCTGGCACTGGGAGAGCGAAGGTGGCAGGGTCAGCCCCAGGGATGGCAGCCTGGGGGGCCAGGGTTGGGCAGGGGGGGCAGCCCCGAGGCGCCCACACAGGGTGGTGTAAGAAAGCCACAGGTGGGAAGGCTGCAGGCGGGCAACCCCGTGGCTGGCACGGCTGGGCTGGGAGCCCTCGTAAAGGGACTACTTGTGTGTCCCCGGCTCCCCAAATTCTCCTCATTAGGGCAGGCAGTTTTCCAGGTCTATTTGCAAATAAAATTATCAAAACCCTGCTGCCACCCCGGAGACTAGCAGAAGGTTAGAGACAGATGCATCCACGCTGAAAAACAGGTAAGATGACTCTGTGGAGAAATATGTGTAGAACAACAATCGGGAAAATACTGAAACAGAATGGAAAGAGGACAAAGCCTGCGGAGAGGAGAACACAGGACGGGCGGCCAGAAATCAAGGCTGTGGGCCTGGCTCACGAGCTGCAGCTCCGTCACAGAGAGACATACGCCCCTGTCAGCCAGGAACCTCATCTCCGGCCCAGGAACTCAGTGTCTGGGGTCATTCAGGCATAAGAACCTGGGAAAACAGGGCCATCCGGGGGGCTCCGTCGGTGAAGCGTCTGCCTTGGGCTCAGGTCATGGTCTCAGTCTCCTGGGATGGAGTCCCACATCGGGCTCCCTGCTCAGAGGAGAGCCTGCTTCCCCCTCTCCCTCTGCCTGCCACCCCCCCTCCCCGCGCTTGTGCACTCTCTATCTCAAATAAATAAATAAAATCTTAAAAAAAAAAAAAAGAACCTGGAAAATAAAGGCAGATCCTGGCCTCTCGCTTCTCCAAAATGATTACCTGGACTTAAGGTGCAGACTGGAAAAGGAAACACGCCCTGGAGGGAGACGTGAAAGCCTAAAACTCAGAGTCAGGAAGGCTTCAGAGTCACAAGGCAAGCGCAAGGCTGAGGAAAAGTATTTGTAACACAAATGACAAGGGCTCATTTCCTCCACATACAAGGAACTACAAATCCATGAGAAAATGCCAAGAAAAGGCCTCTCCAAAACACATTCTGGGCTTAAAACAAACGAGGGGACATAGCGCCCTGCCATGCCCAGACTGCGACCGGCCTGCATCTCCACGCAAGTCCCTTTTCCACCTTTTGAAATCTGTACCATGTGCATATAACTCGTTTTTAAAAATAAAGCAACTGGGGGCGCCTGGGTGGCTCAGTGGGTTAAGCCTCTGCCTTCGGCTCAGGTCACGATCTCAGGGTCCTGGGATCGAGTCCTGCATCGGGCTCTCTGCTCAGCGGGGAGCCTGCTTCTCCCTCTCTCTCTGCCTGCCTGCTCGAGCTCTCTCTCTCTCACTCACTCTATGTCCCAAATAAATAAAACCTTTAAAAAAATAAAAATAAATAAGGCAACTAACAATTTCACAAAACATCACAACGCAGAGAGCCTGACAGAACAAGCCCAGTGAACCAGGCAGGCAGGTCTGGGAACCCCAGGTGGGAGCAGCGCGCTGGTCCATCTCCAGGCGTCCCTGTGAAACGCTAATTGGAGCCTCGGACACCCTGCGAATCCAGCTTCCTCCTCCAGCAAACCGTGTGAGCTCATTCTGACATGGGCTCCACCTGGAGCGCACCCCAGACACATGACAGCACACACAGAGAACCAAGATTACTGTCTCGGTAACCATATTTAACACAACCGCAGTCATGGCTAATGGGGTGGATCCCTGGTCTGAGAACCCCAGCGTCTCTACCCCAGCCTTCCCCTCCCATCCCCTGGGCCTCCAGCCAGTGTGAGGAGCCCACTCGGACCAGGCCAGGCTCTGACAGGAGAGCTGAACCCTTCCCAGGAGGCAAAGGCCAGGATCCCTGCCTTCACCACCAAATGACAGGGTCAGGAGAGCGTCCTCGTGGGCAGGAAGGTCAAACATGGTTAAGACGGTCCTCAGGGGACCCTGAGTGGCTCAGTGGGTTAAAGCCTCTGCCTTCAGCTCAGGTCATGATGCCAGGGTCCTGGGATCGAGCCCTGCATCGGGCTCTCTGCTCAGCGGGGAGCCTGCTTCCTCCTCTCTCTCTGTCTGCCTCTCTGCCTGCTTGTGATCTCTCTCTGTCAAATAAATAAACAAAATCTTAAAAAAAAAAAAAAAAAGATGGTCCTCAGTACTCGTAAATGTCTGGTGTATGGCAGGGTCACCCTCAGCTGCCAGGAAGGCAGGCAGGCCTCCAGGGCACTCGCTCACCCCCTGCTTGTCCGAGGGCAGGCCTCACTGGGTTCCTTCTAGAAACAAAAACCAGAGGGCATGGCGATGGTGAGGCCCTGATGGCAACCACGGGATCAAAGACCCTGGGATGGACTTGGCTGAGGGAACACAAGAGGTCAGGCAGGAAGTGCCCATCTTTAAAGATGAGGGGAGTGAGGATTCCTAGTTCTTACCTCAATAATTCCATCAGACGGGTGAGACTTTTCAAGTCCAATGTCGGGTGTTGGGAGGCACAGAGAGCCCTTCAAGTCTGGGGGGAAGGCAGTGCAACACCCCCCAACCCCCCGTGAGGACACTTCAGTAGGATCAACTAAAAGAGACAGGCCCCCAGCCCCAACATCCAATTCTTGCACACGTCCAGAGGGAGAGGCAACGTGCAGCATTATTTCACGGAGAAAACTAGAAACGCTGTGGCTACGTAATGGGGCCGTGCTGCACAAGAGTCCATAAATGTCAAAAGTTAGGGAGAGCTGGTCCTCGTTCTGCCGCGGGGAGAACGGAAACCACCCACCGCGGGAACCAAGCAAGCCGCGGAGCTGCATGACAGCATTCCAGTAAAACCCGAACAGACACGTTGTACAGACGGCAAACCTCACAATGTCTATCTGACCGGGACAAAGGAAAAAGCTGGGGTGCGGGACAGAGCAAAGAACAAACAGAACCTGTAAATGCAAAGGAAAATGTCAGACTGCTTGCCTGGCTGAGACGGGCGGCGGGGACACCCGGACACCCCAGCTGTGTCTGGAAGGCTCCCTCTGTCAGAGTACAGCCCAACTAGAAATATACCATGACTGCAGAAGTGGTACTTGTGGAAAATCAGGTTACATTTGGTTTTTATTTTGTTTTATGGTTTTTTGTTTTTTAAATTACCTACCATTAACAATCTGAAAAATGGGGGCACCTGGGTGGCTCAGCTGGTCAGTCAGGCGTCCGCCTTCGGCTCAGGTCAGGATCCCAGGGTCCGGGGTCGAGCCCTGGTTCAGGTTCCCTGCTGGGCAGGGGGCCTGCTCCTCCCTCTCCCTCTGCTGCTCCCCCCAGCTCATGCGCACACGCTCGCGCTCTCTCTCTCAAATAAATAAATAAATAAATAAATCTTTAAAAAACGATCTGAAAAATGTATTTATTGAGCCCAGGTACTCCAGGCTTGCGACCTGTACTCCAGGAGGGTGTGGACGGAGGCGGCGAGGACGCTGAGGCTGAGCCCCTCCAGATGGGCTGCGGACCCGGTCCCAGAAACACACACGCCAACCCCCTACACCGTGCCGTTTCAGGGGACACAGGAACCCCAGAAGCCCACCAGTGAGTCACGGCCCCCAGGGTTAAGAACCTCTAACTCAGACAACATTTCAAGCCACGGAAGCCATGGGGCAGGGAACAGGGGCTGGGATGAGCACACACGGGGCCGCAGAAGCAGCGCAGCCCTGACACAGAGGCACAGAGCACAGGAGACAAGCCTGGAGGCTCACAGGATGTGGCTGACAAAAGCGGGTCCCCCAGCTCCATCTCTCCTGCCCCTCCAGGCTGCTGTCACAGGGACTCCCCCCTCCGGGAACGGCGGGCAGGGAGCCCACACACCGGGCCAGGTCCCACAGTCTGGCCCAGCAGCCTCGTCTCTATGTAGCCCCAAACTCCACCGGACTGTGGGTCACCTGCACCATATCTTTCCCTTTGAGGCCTTGCTCCTGGCCAGGCCCTTGTGCCTAATGCCCAGCACATCAGTCAGGGCCTCCCCTGTCCTTCCCCGCTCCCCCACGGTGATTCACAGGGGAGAGAACACCAGAGTCAGAGGCTCCTCCGTGCACGGCCCAGCAGAAATCACAGAACCCACCCCATCCCCGCCCCGAAGCTCAGCCTTGCTGCCGCAGTGCGGGTCCGGGAGGCGAGCATCTGCGCGTCAGTGGAGACACGCCAGAAAGTCGCAGGAAGTCGGGTCTTCCTGGCTGGACTCTGCCCTACCAGTGAAACCTGCAGTGTAGACAGGGTTACACGTGGACCTATGGACTGTCCCCAAATACATATGTGCCTTAGTCATACGCCACAGTGCACAGTTCTCTCTGTAAAATGGAGCAGAGGACACTGAAAGTTCTGTGACTTCAGCTTTCCCGTGAGCACGCATCACAGCGTCACCGTGCACCAGCTGCAGACTCATGGGGTCACTCACAACAGAACGATACCAAATTGCCACGGACGCCACCTACTACAGGGACGCCGCGTAGGCCCTGCGGGCTCATAGCAGCCCACCATAAGGCCACCTCTGAGCCAGGTCTACTAAGTCGTGTGTCTGGACGAAAGACACCATCGCATTGGACAGGACATCAGGACAGCCCCACACGGGCTCAGACGTCTGGCGGCTGCCTGGCCACCCCGCCTCCCACTTACCTGACAAGAGGGGCAGGGACAGGGTGGGACCTTGAACTCCTGTTCAGTCAGTCTGGCCTTCTGAGGGATGGGCCAAGTGTTTATTCTATTTATGAGCTCAAAGTACTGGGTACTTTGTGACCAGAGCTCCCCAGACTGGAAAGCCTGCAGGCAGGTGGGAATGACCATGACCCAGCCAGGGTCATGAAGGCCGTGGTCAGGGCCAGCTGGGGTGGGTGGGGGGGGCCACAGCCAAGTCTCCCCAGCGAGAGGCCTGGCTTCGGCCCTCTCTACCCCAGAGGACCTGCTCCCACAGCCACCGCCTCCAAGACCCTCCGGACGCGCCGTGGTGCCACGTGAATCTCACCGGCTGAAGCAATGACCTTGAAACGCATTTCCCTCTTCTGTGGACTGTCGTCTCCAGCTCGCATGACTAGTTAGATTATGGAAGCAAAAACTAATTATAATTAATGGCTGAGGTTTTATTTTGCAAGAAAGGATTTTTTCAGAAATGACAAGCTCGGTGTGTGTCACCATGTTTTCCTGAAGAAAGCACATTTTAGCGCCGAGGCCCAGGCGGTGGAAGACGGTGATGTCAGACCCGGGCTGTCCCCCTAGCGGCCCGCGGCCCGGCCGGCCCGTGTCCCGACCCGCAAACCCGGCCTGGCGGGCGCGCGGCCTCACCCTGCCCTCGCGCGCGACCTTCGGGGACCCTCGGGCTGCGCCCCTGGGGGAGAGCCCCGCGTCCGCTCCCCCGCGAGCAAGTGGAAAACAGCTGCGCAGGGCAGGGCGGGGGCGCCGGCCAGGCACCGGGCGCTCGGGGCCCAGCGGCTCCCAGGACCCCGGGTCGCGCCCTCCCCGCCCCCGCCCCCGGCCAAGCCCCGCCGCCTCCGCCCGCGCCCCCAGCGCCGCCCGCCCGGCCGCGCCCGCCCAAGGTCGGCGGGAGGGCCGCGGGGCCCGGCGGGCGGGGGTCCGGACGGGGGCCTGCGGCGGGGGTCGGGGGACGGCGACCGCACCTGCACCCGGGGACCCCGCCGCGCGGCCCGCAGCCCCCTCTCCGGCGAGGCCCGAGCGCCGCACTCACCCGGGCGACGCCATCAGCGCGGCGAGGTCTCGGCGCTGCCGCCGCCTCCGCTTCCTCCGCGCCGAGCGCCTCCGCCGGGGAGGGGCCTCGCGCCGGCCACGGCCACCCGCCCGGGCCGCTCCGGGCGGCGGGGATGCGGGGCGGGGGCCCTGCTCGGGGAGGGGCCCGGGGCGACGGGGCGGGGACGGGGTCTGGGGGACGCCCGGGGAGGGGCCCGGAGTCGCGGGGAAGCACCCGGGGTCGCCCCCAGCGGCCGAAGGGAGGGGCGGCGGGGGGCAGGCAGGGCAGCGTTGGCCCCGGGAGCGGGGGCGGCCGCGGCTGCCTGCAGCCCCGACCCGCCCGCCGGCCCACCTGCCCAGGTGCCCGCAGGCCAGGACTCCGGGAGAGGTGCCCCGGGGCCAAACCGGCCAAAACCTGCCCCGGGGCCACGGATCAGTGGCGGGGCCGGGTGAAGTCGACACTCCCTACCGGAGGAGTTTGATTTCCCTAAGAAGAGCCTTTTCTTCAGCCCAGGAGAGCGGCGTGGTCACTGCTCTGCAGCCGGCGGTAACCGTGCTGTTGCTGTGCTGTCTTGCACGAGTCGCTGGCCTCTCTGCGCCAGTCACCCCCGTGTAAAATGTGGATAAAATTAACACTGTTCAGCCCCAAGCACTGTGTGGCACTTGGATCCCCCCTTACGTTGTGTTATTCAGCAGTAGTCAGGAGTCCCGGTTCCTAGAGGGTTTCACTTACTGGTGGAGCATAAGGAATAACACGAAGGACATGGCGAGATGGAGAGGAGAAGTGAGTTGGGGGGAATCAGAGTGAGATGAAGCATGAGAGACTGTGGACTCTGAGAAATAAACGGAGGGTTTCAGAGGGGAGGGGAGTGGGGGGTTGGGTGAGCCTGGTGGTGGGTGTTAAGGAGGACAGGGATTGCATGGAGCACTGGGTGTGGTGCATAAACAATGAACCTTGGAACACTGAAAAAATAATAATAAATAAAAATAAAAAAAAAAAGTTGGGAAAAAAAAAAGAAATTGCTGCGTTAAGTTCAGCAGGTAATTAATGCTCTGTAAAGTCAGCTAAGTAAAGCCACAGGGCTGGGAGACCCGGATTGGGAATAAATCCAAGAGGACCAGGGTTAGGAAAAGTTTGGGGAAGGGGACACTGCTAAATGGCCTGCTTCAAGGCAGTAATGATTGCTACTGGAGTGATAATTTTTTTTAAATCAACTTAATTGATTTTAAAATATATTTCTAAAAAATAACGAAATATAAGTTCCCTGAAATACTCTTCTTCAACATGAGTTTTAGTGTGCACGCGCCATTTCTGTGCCCGGTGGATGATCATGTTTTAACCAGCCCCGACGGGTGGACGTAAATATTGCTGCCGGTAGGCATGATTATACGAAATGCGGACAGCAAATAATTTCCCCATCCATGAGGATGTCATCCAGTATTCACCCATGAGTATTTCCTCAGGCCGAGTTTGTAGGAGTTGAATTTCTAGGTCAGATGACATCAGCATTTTAAGTCTTTTCAGATAGTATACAACACACACGCGCACACACACGCACACACGCATATGCTACATACCCGTACCCGCACATTCATAACACAGATTACTCTCCCAGCACACTCTCCAACACTGATAGTACCAGTTTCCCAAAACTTGTTCTATAAATTTAACAGTTTCTTTTGTTGCCAGTTTGATAGGTTAAAAAACAGTATTTTGGCAAAATGGCAAACTAGGAAGCTCCAACCTCTCATTTCCCCACAGAAAAGTGGAGAAAACAGCCTGAACCTGCTGAACTAATTCTGTAGCTGCTCTAACACCATAGACCAACACCAACCAACCAAGCGCTCCAGCAGGAAACAGACGCGTCCACGGTTGCAGGAAGGTTTCTGGCGTTTTCTCGCGCGTTGCCTTGCCCCTTCCCCAGGGCAGTGGTGCTCTTGGCCTTCCGCAGATAGGACCCTGTTTCCCAGGCCCCACAGACTTATTGCCTTGGACAGGCTGCATAAGGGAGTCCATCAGACTGAAACGACGTAATGCCAGACCATAACTCACAGCAGGATGATGGTGTAAAGATCCATCATAAATATAAAGATATGGGTGAATACAAAAACCAAAACTTTAATTTTGGTAGTAACTCCACTTTTTATTTGCAATGGGGCTTAAAAGACAAATTCATACAAATAATTATGTTATAAATATATATTACCGGGGGGCACCTGGGTGGCTTAGTCAGTGAATCGTCTGCCTTTGGCTCAGGTTATGATCCCAGGGTCCTGGGATCGAGTCCCACATTGGGCTCGTTGCTCCTTAGGGAGTCTGCTTCTCTCTCCACCTCTGCCTGCCACTCTGCCTACTTGTGTGTGTTCTCTCTCTCTCTCTGACAAATAAAATCTTTAAAAAAAAAAAAAGTACATTATTGGGCACAAGGTATAAAAATGTAATTTGTGATATTAATAACTTGAAGGAGAAATGACTGTAAAGTACAGAGTTTTTGTATGTAGTTGAGGTGTTCAAGTCATTAAAAATGTACTGTCGTAGGGACACCTGGGTGGCTCGGTCGGTTAAGCCACTGCCTTTGGCTCAGGCCATGATCCCAGGGTCCTGGGACCGAGTGCCACATCGGGCTCGTTGCTCCTCAAGGAGCCTGCTTCTCTCTCTGCCTCTGCCTGCCACTCTGCCTGCTTGTGCGTGCTCTCTCTCTCTCTCTCTCTGGCAAATAAATAAATAAAATCTTTTTAAAAAATTATAAAATTGGACTGATGTAACTTTAGGGTGTTATCTGTAATCCCCCTGGTATCCACAAAGAAAATCTCTATACAATATATAGAAGAGTCTATATTTGAAGGGAATCAAAACATGTCATTACAAAAAGTTAGCTAACCAGAAATAAGGCAGTAAGAGAAGAGAGACAATGCTCTAAGAAAAATAATAATAATAATAATTTTTTAAAGGCAAAATGGCCGTAGTAATTTCCTCCTTATCAGTAACTATTTCAATGTGAATGGATTAAGTTGTCCAATTAAAAGGCAGAGCTTGGCAGAATGGGTTTTAAAAAATAACCCAAATACACACTGTTTATAAGAGACTCACCTTGAGTCTACAGACAGAAAATGACTGGCAGTGGAAGGATGGTGAAAGGTGTTCCGTGCACACAGTAACCAAGAAAGCTGGGCAAGCTACCTAGACAAAACAGACTTTGTTAAACTGTTATAAGAGATGAAGACATGATACATTTTTTAAAATAGTCAATTCACCAAGACAGCAATTATAAACATACATGCACCAAATAAAGAGCCCCAATATATAGGAAGCAGATATTCACAGAACTTAGGGGAAATTAGTTCTGTAATAAAACTTGGACACTTCACAGGAGGCAGGACAACCGGCAGAAGATCAGGAAGCAAACAGAAGCTGAGCCATCCCGCAGACTGGATGCCCGCAGATGCACAGAACACCGCACTCCGCAGCGGCAGGACACACATCCTTCTCAAGTGCTCACGGAACATCCTCCCCGAGAGACCACGTGTCAGGCCACAAAACAAGTCTTAATAATTTAAACAATGCTGGATCAATTATTCAAAATATCTTTTCTTATCATAACAGAATGAAACTGACGTCAAAAATATAAAACAGGAAAATTCACAAGTATGTGGAAATTAAGCAACACACCATAAACAACTGACAAATTAAAGAATAAATCACAAGGGAAACTGGGAAATACCTCAACAAAAATAGGAAGAGTAAAATATGTGATACAATGAAAACAGAGCTAAGAGGGAATTGTATACGTGTAAATCTCTGTCATAAAAGAAGAAAAATCTCAAATCAATAATGTAACAGTATGCGCCAAGGGGGGAGAAAATGCAGAGCACACCATCCAAGAGTTAGCAACAGCAAGGAAATAATAAAGACCTGAAAAGAGAAAAATAAAATGAATAGCAAAATAGAAAAAAAACAATGGAATAAAAAGCTGCTTCTTTGAAAAGATCAAAATTAACAAACTTTCAGCTAAACTCACAGAAAAGAACAGAAGACCTAAATCACTAAAACCAGAAATGAAATTAGGGACATTACTACTGATTGTACCAAAATAAAAATAACTCTAAGAGAATACTACAGATGATTGTACACCAACAAACTGCATCACCTAAGTGAAAAAACTGATTTCCTGGAAACACAGTCAACTACAGAATGAAGGAATAGCAAAATCTGAAGAGGTCGATAACTAGACATTGACATAGTAAACAAAAAGTCTTCCAGCAAGGAAAAGTGTGGACCAGACGGCCTCAGTGGTGAATTCTACAAAACATTTAAATAATAACATTAATTCTCTAACTCTTCGAGAATATTAAAGAGAATGAGATCAGCATCACTCCTGATACTAAAGCCAAAGACCCTAAGAGAAGGCGACAGACCAGTCTCCCTTAGTTTTCCCCGATACGAAAGTCCTCAACAAGATACTAGCAAACGGAACCCAGAAAAAGGACTATATACAATGACCAAGCAGGATTTATTCCTGGGATGCAAGGATGATGCCACACACGCGAAGTGATCAGTGTAATATATTACATTAACACAATGAAGGGTTTAGAAAAAGTACATGATTATCTCAATGTATGCAGAAAAGGCATTTGACAAAATTCAACAACATTCATGACAAAAACACTCAAACCAGGAGCAGATGGAAACCTCTTCAACACAATAAAGACCACATTTAACAACCCAGAGTTAACACCATACTC